AAAACTCAAGTTACAGCATTCTCAAACTGATTCTGCCAAAAACCAGACAACATGGATCGACGCGTAATGCCTTGGGCCGATGCGTACTGAACTGAACATGCTACATGAGTCGATGCATACTCTCTTGTATCGACTCATACTGAGTCTGCCACACTACATGTATCGACACATGCTCCTACGTATCGACTCATCCTGAGTCTAAAAGCCCTCATGTATCGACGCATGACTCCTTCATGTCAATTCATCCTGAGTCTAAAGGCCTTCTTGTATCGACACATAACGTTTCGGGTCGACATATACTGTTCTTTCATGGGTATTTTCTGCAATTTCTATGTGTTTTCACTATGATTTCCACACTTTAGGCCCTAAAAACATCTCCTAATCATAAATAATCATCAATTATAATTATCCTATAATTCTACATCATATATACAGCATTGGGACATCGTTATTCATCCATAATTCATCAATTCTCATCATACAACATCATATATAATTCAATCATAAACAAATAATCTTTCACCTCTAACCCCACATACCAATTATCACAAACCCTATTATAGAGTCAGAACCCCACCCTTACCTTGGATTGAAGGTTGCTCTATACTTTTCCGGTTGAATTTCCGTTCTGCCTCTTTTCCTCCTTTCCAACAGCTTTCACGTTCTTTCTCTTCTAACCCTTATTCTTTCTCTCTTACTGCTTCTTCTTTTCTATTATTTCTAACAATAATAAAATAACTCTATTATTCTCTTAATTCCTTAATGGGCTTAAGACTACTACACCCCCTTATTACTACTTCTATCCTTTAAAACAAGTCCACATCAAATAATATTATCCTTCTAATATTATTTCACAACTTAATAAAATAATTAAATCCACTAATCACAACACAACTTCACAAATATTCCAAAAAAAAATTAATTAAATAATTAATTAAATTACGGGCGTTACATTGAGCCTCTAACTTGTTCCCTCTGATCACACTCCATCTACAAAGTCAGAAGCAAGTTTGTTTAAAGCATAACCACTCTACATTAGCAAGTACACAAGACATTGAAACTTGATTTCTCAAAAATCACATGTTGAGCTTAAACATCTGATTTTGAATTCTGATCAAAGACAAGCCTCCAAACTTGTTGCTTACAAATAGAAGCACTATTTGTGAGCTAAGACACGAGCTTAAGCACCCTGAAACTCTCTCAAACTCCCTCAAACCAGAAATTCTCCAAAAACTCCATTGTTGCATAGTTTCTGACTTTGAACTTGTAACTCATATTTCCCTCATGCGTTTCTTGGCTTTTCACTTCCTAAAGCTCCTATACATCAAATATAACCTATCCCTAACCCTATTTCATAACTGTAATTCCATTTCCATCATCCTCCATAACCAAAAACAGAGTACTGCAAGTTGACATCTCCAGACCATTCCAGCCATCCATTGCTCAAGCTAACCATTGCATTATCTTCCTGGGAACTTGAGGAAGTTAACCTGATCATCACAACTCCTTGAAAGCAGCTAAAACTCATTTCACAATTTCCAGTTTTGAGGTATATTTTCTGAACTTCTATCTTCTCATTTAGGCATTGTTAGGCTTGCATTTGTGAAGATAAAATGTAAACATCATTGCCCTGAAACTGTACATGTCCATAGATTTCATTTATATTGATATAGCTTAGAGAATTTTAGGTTTGAATCTCTGAAAATAATTAGGTCAGAATTTGGTAATTTCAAAAATTCTCATTAATCTTTGATTTATAGCTTATGATATTTATATGGTTGGATTCGTATGGAAAAATGGAGCAACTTTCATGTTTGCATATTTCATTTTTGTTGAGAAATGGTGAAGTTATAGATGTTCAGGCTGGAGGTTGAAGATGAAGTCATATTCAGGACATGATTTGTGTTATGTATTATTTGTTTTGTTTATGTTACCGAATGTACACCCACCCCAGTGGCAAAGGTAGCGCGCGTGTATGTGAGAGGTCATGGGTTTAACACCCAACACTACCTTTTGTTCTTTTTTTCAATATTTTTCATTCTTTTTTGTTCCATCTACAGGCGCCTGGGCCTCATCAATGGGCCTTCCATTTTTTGCTTTTTCTAACCCCCTGTTTACTTTTGCAAGCTGGCCTATACTTCTTTTTATTATTTCATTTACTATTATTTTCTTTTTCTTATTTTTATTATTTCAGTTTTCTTATTAGTTTTTATTATTATTATTTTTAATATTATTTTTTATTTTTATTAATAAAAAATCCAAAAATATATTTATTTTTATTATTTTCACATTTATATGTTTATTTTCTTTATAAACCAAAAAGAACAAAAACATTTTTTTTAACAAATTAATTTCTTTTTCTTAAATAATTAATATTTAGATTTAGGTTTAATTATTATTTTATTTTCTTTTAAATCAAAATTAACTTAGAATTTAGGTTTCTTTTAATTAATTAATTTTCAAATTTATTTTATTAACTTAAAACCTTCTTCATAAAAACCCTAAAAAATCATTTTTAACTTAATTTCTTTCTTAATTAGTTTAAACTTAATTTTGTTTATTTTTAACTAATGATTTTCTTAATTAGGTCAAGACTAAACCCTTTCATAAAAAAACCAAACAAAAATCATTTCTTTTTCCATTTACATTCTTGCATTTTAATTCTTGTACAATATTTAATATGGTTGTAATAGATAATTAGATTTAATTTTCTTATAATTCCCATTTGTAAATTTGTACACCCCCTCCCCTAATGATGTAATAGCGTAGTAATCTTTACTTTCTGCAATTTATCGCTTTATATAAATGTTAGTAATTAGGGTTTGTATGGAAAGATAAAATCAACAAATAGCAAACCTTAATTCAAGATAAATAATACATGTAAATCAAACACACTTTCAAACTTACACCCTTAGGGTAATTCCACTTTATTTCCTTACAAAAATGGCCATGTTATGAATGTGGGATATCTTAGCAAAAAGCAATAAAAAATACAAGATCATATTCCCTCGATGATGCTATCAATGTTGCCTTTCAAAATGATCTTAGTCCCTCAAAGAGAAATGCTAAGATATCTCACAACATTGCTATCATGACTATACGGTGACCCACGCCCGTCCCTTTACATCCAAAGATAAGGCTTCTTACCAAATCAATGGTGAGATAGCAATATCAAAGGAAAGAAAGAAATGAAGAAAGACTTTTGAGTAAGTAGATTGTTCTTAGTTGCTTGCTCATTTTCAAATCAAATATCCTTGCTTATTTTCAAAAACAAACACCAAACACTTTCAAAAACACTTTCAAAACACTTTTTAAACATGAAATATTTTCAAAAGCCCAACACTTTGTATACGTTCTTACGAACGAGAACTATTACAAAGTTTGCCTAAACGAAGGCACCTTTTCAAAATACTTTCAAAAACCACACAAAGCACATTTTCAAACAAAATCAAGTGATCTAGCAAGCAACTAAGAGCCCATAGATAACTATAGATGAAAAGGGTGCTAACACCTTCCCTTTTCATAATCTACCCCCCGAACTCAAGAAATAATCTCAAAGGTCTTTCCTGTTCTTTTCAGCCTTTCCTTTTGGATAAAAGAAAAGTCGGTGGCGACTCTTGCTAACCGCAACATTTGCAATAAAATACAAAACACCTAAGTCAGTCCTCCCACCTTATCACACATTGCCTCCAACTTCTCCCGATGATGCTTGGAGCGATGCACTCTAGTATCATCACTCTTTTCTGCCCTTCGTCGCTGTTATACCCCAATTTTTTCCCCTAAGATCCCTCTTCACATCATATACATCTCATGCATATTATCGGTTCCATAGTTACGAGATCAAAGGGCTTTTGGCGTTATGGTTTTTCCGTATGAATTAAGGTTGCTACCTTACTCAAAGTTGATTCAACGGGTGCTCTCATCATTCTTGGTATGAAACTAGGGTTTTGGATCACAAACATCATAGACGTCTTCACTGGAAGAGTTCCTCGAGATATAAGGTTCTGAAGTCAAGGTTTTTTTCCTCTCACCATCTCAAACCTTTTTCATCCGTATACACTCAAGGTCCATTGATTTAGGATTCTTCTATTGTGCCTAAGCATGGATGTTGTTTATTCAACAAATGATTCATTGTTCTAGGTTTTCTCCTCGAGCCTACATGATCATTATTCCTTCCTCGTTACGAGTTTGTCATCATTTAAGATGGTTGAATAGTATTTGAAGCTTTCATACAGTCAAGATGTTCTTTTTTATTAAGCCAAGAAACTGGGAAAATTACTGGATACACCTTCTCCTGGACTGGATGAATCTATTAAAATTTTCAAGGTTCTATAGTTTCTTGAATCTCCGAAATGTAACATGTTCATCCGCATTGTATTTGACACGACACCTACAGGTCATACATTACGTTATTGTCCTTTCCTGATTTCTTAGATGCATCTATCAGGAAAATACTAAAGCTAAGACAAAAGATAGCTTTAGCTACCTCTACAATTAAATTTGTGTTTGGGCATGAAAATAGTCGTCAAGATGCTGCTGACAAATTGGAGAAGCTTAGGGAGAGGATGATAAAAGTGCGCGAGTTTTTCCGTGACATTGATCCGACATAATTTGTTATTTTTATAATCCCTACGGTAATGGCAGATAGTGATTCATCTAGATTGAGTGCTTCATTGAAGAAGGAAAATGTTCTTGTAAAGAGACTCATTGTCAATCAAATTCTCCCACCATCTGCATTTGATTGCAAGTTTTGTGCTGTGAAAAGAAAGGATCAAATGTCTGCTCTTGATATGATTCATAGCGATCCAGAACTCTTGACGTTATCGATGACCCAAGCACAACTTGTTGTTGATATAAGATGAGTTCCCACTCCCAAAATTCTGGACATCATCTGGAAATGACTATTATACAGTAGTTCAAGTAATAATTAGTTCGCAGTTTTGTGAAGAACCATAACTTAGGCATATTACATCAAGGCTTATCATAGTTATATAGTCAACATGGGCATCTTCAATATCCTTCGTACTGACCCCTTTAATATCATAAATCTTCACACTTCTCTTCAAGTTATCTCGCAGCTCCATAATAATCTTCATAACAACAACAACATCCTCCTCCATCTACACTATCAACACCATGCGGTAGAGAATAACATCAACGTCAAATTTGCAATCGTAACAACTCAGAACTCACATAGAAAATAAATAATAAGAAGCAGAAGAGAAGAAACAAGAAGCGAAAGTTAGCTGAACTCGTGCATCACCGGAAATGCACCATAATAGCCACCGTCGATACATGTTACCCGATCTTTTTTCCTTGATTTCTCAGTGCCACAATGTAGTCCAAGACTTGTTGGATATTTCCCCTTTGCTTGTGACTTGAAATATCACTTCATCATGGTACAATCGCCATTTGGGAGTGTCCTAGGGTCTTCTTCCATGAACTAGATTCGGAGTTCGAAGAGTAATAATGGAAAACAAGGTTGAGATTTGAGTTAGGTTACGCGTGTGGAAGTCTCTAGTTGCAGAGGAGAGAATTTTGTCCTGATGGCGATGGATCAGAGAAGAAGAAGCCCAGCAACACTGCTGATTATTTAGAGGGAGGGAGGAGATCATGTTTTGATAACCTGAAATGTCAAAAAGGTCGTAACCCTATCTTTCTTAGGCTAAATAGAACCGTTCAATTATTATTTTGGTTTTTAGTTTATTTTTAATTGGAAGATAGATGATAATGCTGCTGAATGTTAATTAAATCATGATGATGCTGAAAGTCTGTTGGATTTAGTAAGAAATTCGATAATGGGGTGGATCTTACTCCACATGAAGCCCCAACGTGAATTTTGTGATACAAGTTAGTTGCTTTTGCAAACAAAAAACAGCATTGTGGACTCAACAGTCTGGGCCGAGGCGCCAGATTTTCCATCTGCACCCTTCTTAAGCCCATTGCAGTGTTTTTTTTGCATAATGAAGTTTGTAGAAAAAGAAATCTCATCGAACTGAGTTTAGTTTGGGCTTAGTGCTTATTTCAGTTGCTTGTAGCATGCACTCTGATCCAGGTCTTGCACCTCCTATAACATTCATGTGTTATTTTCTTGTTAATTCATTTTTTTGCAATTTTTATTTTTTGTAATTGTTTGTTTGATTTCTTCATGATTTTGACTAATTTTCCATATGATAAAACAATAAAAAATATGTAGAATTTAGGATCTCCTCTTAATTTTTTTTGTGATTCACCTTTGCTTGTTGAGTTGAGTCCTATACAGGTTCATTTTTGATATGCAGATATTTTTGAGTTTCTGATTTTGATTTATTTTCACATCGATGATGCTTCGACACCTATTCTGAATATTCGATCTCTGACTGTTTGTTTGTTGATGCCATCTCGCATGATGTATTCTGGGTTTCTTTGCTTTGGTTGCACTTTTTGCAGACATTATTGTTCGTTTGGTATTATACTGCTTCCAATTTATCTTCCCGCATTTTATTGGTTTCTAGATATCATGAGAAGTAGGAAATAAAGAGTGTGCGCTCGAAGTCGTTGTTTAAAGACCTGTAGCAGGCATTCTGCACTTGTTGCTAATTGTGTTTGTGTTTATTTTCACGGGTTGATGATCGATACTGTCACTCAATTAGAATTGAGACAACGACTTCGATCTTTTGCATGCTCCCCATAGGATTTTTACTTTCCTTTATTGATGATTGATGATGTCACTCGACTAGAATTGAGATAACGACTTCGATCTTTTGCATGCTCCCCATAGGATTTTTTCTTTCCTTTGTTGATGATCGATGATGTCACTCGATTAGGATTGAGATAACGACTTCGATCTTTTGCATGCTCCCCATAAGATTTTTACTTTCCTTTGTTGATGATCGATGATGTCACTCGATTAGAATTGAGATAACGACTTCGATCTTTTGCATGCTCCCCTTAGGATTTTTACTTCATTTTATTGATGATCGATGATGTCACTCAATTAGAATTGAGATAACAACTTCGATCTTTGCTTGTTCCCTTAGGGTTGCTCGATTAGGATAGCTATCAAGATAAACATTAGGATAGTTATCCATGCATGCTAACATAGGGTAGAGTTTTCCCTTTTCATCCTTGACATAGTGATACCATTGTATGATAACATTAGGTTAGAGATAGGTTAGTCTCCCTTATGTGTTTTCTTCCCATTTTACATGATTTCATTTAAAACTAAAACTTATTTTTCTTGGCAAATGTATAAAAATGCTAAGTATACAAAAATTCTTTTCATGATAAAAAATACCAACCAATCCACTTATTTTCGCCATTTGGCTTTTCTCTTCTAAGAACGTGTTAATTCCTTTCCACTATAGTGCGTGAGTGTCCAATGGTCGAGCAGCAGTAAAATTATTGAGTTTAACATTGTTTATCTAAAAAATATAAAGAAACAAAACATGTGAGCCGAACTACGATGCTCTGATTCTTTAAAAGGGATACGTAGGCATCTGGTCACGGGGCTCAGCTGAGTGAAACTTTGTAAATATTCCTTTCTTTTCCCCGTGTTTTATTTGCATGCATTCTGTCTTAACTTTTATTGATCTTAAGCATTAGATTGAACACACCCTTTAATTAAAACAACATGAGTGGATCCCATAGAGTACTATAGACGTGTGGGGTGCTAATACATTCCTCTCGCGTAATCGACTCTCGTACCCGATCTCTCGGTCGCAAGAACTTGATTTCTCCCTTTAGGTTTTTCTTCGATGATTTTCCTTTCCCTTTATGTGGAATAAATAAATACTCGTAGGCGACTTCATTGATTTTACCGCTACAGAAAAATGGCGACTTCACTGGGGATAGTTGACCAATTGCTGGTCCATCCCATGAGTCACTCTTAGCTCCCGTTTTTCTTTTCTTTGGATGTTTATCTTTATGCTTTTATAGCTTTTTAATTTGTATATATTTAAGCATATGTATGCATTGCATTTTATCGCTTTCCATATACTGGTTTTTTTTTTGTTATGGATTATGCGTTTCTTGATGGGTGGGTGTTACTATTGAAGTAAAAGGCCCAATACCCAGGCCAGAGTGCACTATCTAAGAAACTTAGGAATAAAGTAAAACACGACGGCTACCGGACGAAGGTCCTACTAGCGCGGTCATGTTGTATACACTCAGATAAGGTTCAAATGGAGTGTTATTGTCATCCATGTCTATGGCTTGATGATAGTGCTTTCAGGCGAACCCGTGATTTTGAGTTACCATTGACCTTACCTTGACCTAGTCTTGACCCGTGAGTGGGGAGGGAATGATATTTACAGGTACATATGGTGACTATATATATGTTATGTTGGTGACTTTGGTTCTTGGTATTCTGAATTGGTCTGGACCTTTGATCTTGTTACATGTGACTGTGGTTCTGTTATCAGTTCGGCAGCTATCCAACATTGCAGAAGCTTTGATCCCATATGTTTGCATACATAATATGTTAATGTAATTATTAGCATACATGTTACTTCTCTTCCAAACATCATTTCTTTGATTCCAATTGTTATGTCGCTAAAAAATGAATATTGTTAAGAAAATTACCATAGCTTAATAATAGTAATCAAAGTGTATAAACTCTTGGAAACGAGAACATGGCATTTGTATCGCATGCCATGCATCATGTTGCATTTAATTATGTATTTTATGAGTTTCCCATAAGCCTTACTCAAGGTCCTTTGGTCTTCATAAACATGTTGTCTCATCGGTACAACACTCGTGCTAAGAGAAGATGGAAAACATTAAGAAAGAGATCTTCGAACTCCGCAAAGAGGTAACTACTATGAAGGCTGATATGGAGTATCTAACTGCTTTGGTTAAAACTTTGGTTGTCACCTAATTTGATCCTTCTAGGAAGGAAGAAGAGATGGCAAAAGTCTTCACAGAAACTCTGAAATCATTCTTTCATGAGAAGGTGATAGTTAATGCACCCAGTGATTTCCCAGAAAAAGTGAATGTGGTAGTGCTTCTAGAAAAGGATGTCCGAAAGGAATGTTTAGCTGAAGACAGTGGCTCAGCTAGTGGTGTGAAGAAGTTTGATAATAACTTTTCCAAGAAGAGAACCACAGGAAGAAACAATCATCATCACAATCAGCATATTTCTTATGTCATCCATGTGTTCAGTTTACCTCATGTTGCTCCAGTTTTTCAATAGAATCAACATGTTTCTGATCAGAGGAAAACTCATTTTGATCTAATTCCAACGACCTATACAAAGTTGTTTCCTATCCTAATGTAGAGGAATTTGGTTCAAACTCGACCTCCACCGAAGATTCCTGAGAAGAGGCCTTGGTACTACAAAGCTGATTTGACTTGTGTCTTTCATCAGGAGCCCCTGGGCTTAGTATCGAACAATGTTACCCATTGAAAGTTGAAGTCTAGAAATTGGTCAGAGGTGATATCTTGTCATTTGAGGATATTTGTCTTGAGGTTCAAGTCAAGTCTTTGCCGAAGAATAAACATGATTGAAGGATACCTTGGAGTTTAAAGATGATTAGCCTTCTCAGTTTACTAGAAATTTTATTGATTTCTCATTTGTAATTTTTTCTTGTTTATCATTGTATTGTTTGCATGTAAGAACTTGTTTACATCTGAATGATTATCTTAATGCAATGAATATGTTTGTCTTAAAGAAATCCATTCGTTTCACTCGTATTTATTTTCAATTTTAAATCGCTTTTTGCATTATGATACCAACTTGTTAGACATTCTCTTATCTAGGTAGAGATTGGAGGGAGGGTGATGAATTTAAAATTCAAAATTTATGGTTGTATGTTTTTGAATAAAACCCTGTTGACGATGTACATGCATTGTTTCAAATTCCCAAACACCAGAGATATAAGGGAGTGAAACCCTCGTTAACCCCTTTGAGCCTTGAAGTAAGAGTTTCTTTTCTATTAAAAAAAACCTCATTTATAACCCAGGGCAGGGTAGTGTTCAGTTAATTTGAATGAGTGTTTGGAACTCATCAAAAATGTGCATCTAAGGATACAACAATGGCTATCCTTTAAAAGGTTGAAGAATGTCAAAACTGCAATGGTTAACCTTCACTTATCAAGAGTGTGCGTTAATTGACGATATCCCAATGGGTATCTCTCACATATCAGGAGGTCAGTAGATGACGATACAAAGATAGTTATCCTTCATCTACCAAGAAATAGGGCAGTAACAATTCTTCCAACAAGTC